GTCGGCAGAGACTTGCTTCTGGTGAAAGTGGGAAGAAAACCATTTTGTAAAGGGGGGAGCAATGACAGAAGTGCTTCCCCTGCTCTGAGGAAGGGACAGCAGGGTCGGGGGCCCAGAATGATCTCCTTGGTGCCTGTGTTGGCATCTTGTCCATGACTTCTGGCTGGTGAGGGGTGACTGGAATCCCTGCCCTGCTCCTTTCTCCCAGCTTTAGGGCTTGAAATGCTGGGGTGGTGAGCGCGTGGGGGAGGGCGGGGCCAGAGGCCTGGAAGGGAGGGTTGATGGCCTTTCCCTGGTGTCCTCTGGGTGGATGGGGCCTTTCATTCAGGGCAGTGAGGGCACCCAGGGTCTCTGGACTGAAGGTGCTGTGAGCCTCACCCAGGGAAGCCTCAGGCCAAATCCTCAGTCCTAAGTATCCACTTAGGACTGTGCTTAGCCAAGAAGGGGTCAACTAAGGAAGGTCGGAGACTGCAGCCAGCTCTGGGGGGTCCCTCTGCAGAGCCCTTCATCCCCGGATGAACCACATATGCTTAGGCATGGGCCGAGAACTCAAAGGGCCAGGCAGACAGATTCAGGGTCACTGAGAGGCAGAGAGAGGCTCAGGGCTTCTAAGTGGGTTTGACCTTGGATCTCTGGAGGGTCTAGGTGTCAGCAGACCACCCTCCTCTCCTGCCCTGCTGAGATTCCAAGGCTTCTTTCTGAGCAAGTCCTTACGGCTGGAGAACTTGGCTGGTCAGGGCAGCTGCCCAGCCCACACCAAAACTGATGCAGGCCCAAATCCTTGGGCCCCAGACTACACACTGCAGCTCTTCCTCCAAACCAGCACAAGTCTAGTCTATCCACAGGCCACTGGCCCAGCAGGGAGGGTAAGCCCAACATCCCCCCCCCCCCCCCCCCCCGCCTGTGTGGGAAATCCTCCTGCCACCCAGGATACCAGGAGGCTATGCAGAAGAATCACCAGCAACCATCAGCCCTGTAAGATGTGGGTGGGGGTGCACCTGAGTTTCTTCCAACCCCCGAGCCTCTATCTTCTCAGCACAGTAGCCTGGCCTGTGGGTTGGTTGGCAAGCTCCCAGAGGAAGGCCCTGAGTCCCTGCAGAGCATTGGGAACCCATAAGGCTGGGACTTGGTGGCTGGGTCTGTCCTTGACAAAAGGGCCTGGCCAACTCTGACACCTGGGGTGTTGTCACCAACCACTGGAGCCCCATGACCTCATCTGAGCCTTCTTGGGCCATTTCCTTCCCAGCTGGCATCCCTGCTGGAACCCAGACTGCCCGAGGCTCGCTGCCCAGCAGGCCAGAAGCCTTTCCCAGGAAGCAGGTTCCACCAGAGCTCTGCTCCACACTGAGACTTGTCAGATGCTGCACTTGCAGGAATGGACATTTCTGGAAGTGCCATGTCCTTGCTTGGGTCAGAGGCAGATAGGATAGCCCCTGCCCCTGTGCCTCATGCCCGGCAGCAGCCCTGGTGGCATTGGTTTGCTGGAACTTGTGCCAGTGGAGGAGAGAGAGCAGGGTCTGTGGCAGTGGAGGTCTCTCATTATCAGCTGCCTCTTCCTGAGCACCAGTGGGTGCTGGTGCTGTGATCCTCCTGGTGACTGTCAAGAGGACAGTATGATTGTCCCAGTGCATCCTGAGGAAGCCCTGGACAGGTGGGGCAGCCTGCAGTGCTGATGCACATGTGCAGCAGACCCTGTGCCCCACCTTCCTCTCTCCACAGCAGGGCCTGCTTCTCGCACCGGTGCAGTCTGGGCTGTGGTGTGACATGTTCCCCAGGAGTTGTCCTCCATGGGCCAGAAGGAGAGGGGCAGGGGCTGTGCTGCCTTTGAGAGCACATGTCCAGGGCCAGGGTGCTGAAGGAAGTGCTGCACATGGTCACACCTGTAGGGCACGCCCGAGCAGGCACCAGGTGAGGGGGACCAACCTGCCGGGCTGGCTGTGTTCCAGGAGCCCACCACGGAGCCAGCGCACAGTGTCGACCCCAGGGATGCCTGGATGCTCTTTGTCAGGCAGAGTGACAAGGGTATCAATGGTAAGAGGAGGAGCAAGGGCAAGGCCAGGAGGCCGAAGGTGAGTAGCCTGGACCCCTTGCCTCTGGTGTACGCACTCAGCTCTGAGACCACACACCTGGGGCAGGGATGCAGAGGAACTGGCCAGGCCCGGGAGCCCTGAGTTAGGGCCTGGTCCTCACCACTCACCCACACCCTTGGTGTGCCAGGCCCTCTTCTCTCCCCTCTGTGTCCTGGAGAGGGGCCTTGCCCAACTGTGTGGAGCGTGCTGGAGAGGCCTCTGCTGGGCCCTGCTCTCACTCAGCCCTGGGCCTGGCCTAGGCTGGGACTCGGTGCTTGGCTTGGTGGCTAACTCCTGCTTTGAGCCCCAGTGAGGGCTGTGTCCTCTGAGACAGGAGCTTCGGGACAGGGCTGTGCTGCCCGTACTGAGCGCTGGGCTTCTCTATCCATGCAGAGCCAGTCTCACTGTGCCAAGTGTGGAATGCCAGCTCTGAGCCTGGTGTGCAGAGGTGCTGCGCTGTTACTGTGGCTCGCCCACCCGTCTCCTTCTGAACCGCCTGGCCCTGCCCCAAGCTGCTCCTTGCAGCAAACTTCCTCCCTTCTGTGTTGGGTCCTGACCCAGGCCAGTGTGGGCTCCTGGAAGGCCCTGGACACTAGTACTAGCCAGATGCAGTACTAGTGTCTTGACTGACTTGAGGTGCAAGTCCCTAGAAGCTGCCTGTAGTCCCCCTCCCTCCAGGAACACCAGGGAGGGGTAGGCCACAGCCGGCCACAGGGCTACCCACAGCCAGTCCCACAGTTCCTGTCCAATCCCAGCCTTGAAGCTGCCCAGGGCCAACAGCTTTCAATGACTGCAAGGGGTTGAGATCCCACGGCTCACCTGGGAGGTCAGAGCCCACAGCTACTGGGTGCTCTCCTGCCTGTCTGTGGCAGGAGCTGGCAGAGGGAATGCCCCAGGCACCCAGCTGCCTCTTCATATGTCCTCACAGCCAAGGTTCCCTTCCAGCTTGGCCTGCCAGGGCCCCCGGGGCCACCTGGCCCCCAGGGCCCCCCAGGGCCCCCCATCCTACCCGAGACACTGCTGAAGGAGTTCCAGCTGCTGCTGAAAGGTAGGGTTACCACCCTGGCTATCTTGTGCACCAGGGTTTGGGCATCCATGTTTGGGCAGAACTTAGCAACTTAGTTCCTGAGGTGGCACTGACTGGCCTAGCCTAGGTATGCCAAAGGTAGGGTCTGGGGGTGGGGGCATGGTGAGGAAAAGGCTTCACAGAGGAAGAGAGGCATAGCACCAAGTGCTCTAGCTGGGAGTCCAGAGTCCTGCCCCGGGTTGTGGGCTGCAGCCAGCCTGACCCATATCACTTACCGGCTCTGGATTTGTTATGATGAACTGGGCCATTTCAGACCCCTCCTGTTCAGAGTGCTGGTTTTATTTTTTTGTACCAGGGATTGTACTCAGGACCGCTTGACCACTGAGCTACATCCCAGCCCTATTTTGTATTTTACTTAGAGACAGGGTCTCACTGTCTTGCCGTTGAGCAAGCATCTTGCCGTTGCTGAGGCTGGCTTTGAACTTGCCATTGTCCCATCTCAGCCTCTGGAGACGCCGGGATATCAGGCGTGCGCCACTGCACCTTGTGTGCTATTTGTTTTTTAATACCACCTCGGTGGCTAGAGAACTCTGCGTGATTGCCAATATAGCTGCAGTAGTAACTTACAGGCATCTGCTTTCCAAAAGAGGCCTGGCTGGGGGAAAGGGTGCTGGTGTAGGACACACCTGCCCCAGAGAGGGCTGTATCCCCTGTGACCAGGAGCTGGAGGGAAACTGCAGCTGCAGGATGGGAAGCCAAGACTCCCCAGGCCTTGCAGTCGAGTAGGGAACTCCAACCTTTGGGGTGGGCAGGTGAGGCAGCCCCCATATGCCCACCTCACTCTGTGCCAGGTGCAGTGCAGCAGCATGAACGCACGAAGCCTGAGCCCTGCATTCGGTGTTTGGCTGAGACCACGGGCTCAAGCCCCGCCTCGGGCTCCATTGAGGATGAGGCGGCGGCCGGGGGCATGCTGGCGCTGCTGGCTGCGCCCCTGGCTCCAGGCCCACTGGCTAGGCGTGTGGAGGCGGCCTTCCTCTGCCGCCTGCGTGGGGACGCACCTGTGGAGCGCCGCACACTGCACGAGCTCGGCATCTACTACGTGGTGAGTCAGGTGCGTGGGCCCAGTGGGTACACAGGACCAAGCACCCAGGATGACCAACCTTGCACCCCACAGCCTGAGTCCGAGGGTGCCTTCCGCCGCGGCCTGGGCCTGAACCTGACCAGCGGCCAATACACGGCGCCCGTGGCTGGCTTCTACCTTCTGGCTGCCACACTGCACGTGGGTGAGGCCCGGGGCGTGGGGGGCTGCCCACCGCCCTGGCTCCTGCCGCTGTCATGTGACCACCACCTGCCCTCCCCGCAGCACTCGCTGAGCAGCCAAGGCACGGGCCTCTGCGCCCCAGAGACCGCTTGCGCCTGCTCATCTGCATCCAGTCTCGCTGCCAGCACAACGTGTGAGTGGGCCCTGCCCAAGCTCTGGGCGCACACTTGGCCTCCCCAGCCCACCTGGGGGCCCCCTACCTCCGTACCCACTGCCACTCTATCCTGCCCACTTCAGGGTACACCCGGGAGACCTGGTCCTTCCCAGCCTCTGCCTCCTTGTGCCCCCTAACAGGGAACTCTCATCTAGGGGCCAGAGGGAGGCAATAGCGCCACCTCCTGAGTGGCATTTCCTGGCCACCCCTACCCTGTGAACTTTCTTTCCCATGATGACATCCATTCCTTATGGCTAGTGTCCCCATCTGTACTGCATCTGGACCATGAGGGCAGCCTCTACCAGCTCCCTGCCTCCCTGGCACCCGGACTAAGCCCAGGCACACCACAGGTGCTCTGCATGTGGGGAGAAGGTGCAGATGAACAGGTGACACTGAGAAGGAATGGCTCTGGGAACCCTGGAGTGACTGGCCTGACCTGGCTGTGTATCACCTCTGCCACACTCCCACCTCCATCTGCACCAGCAGTGTCCCGTCTGTCCTCAGAGCCAGGCCTCTGCTGCCCTTGCTCAGCCAGCCCAGCCCTGCCCTTGGTGGTGGGTGTGCATGTGGTGCTGGCTTTCCTCCCGAGACCCCTTCAGAACCTGCCCCCTGTGAACAGGCCAGGACCGAGCACTTTGCTGGGAATGGTGACAGTTGCTGGGTGACTGTGTCCTGTGGGGACACTGGGGCCTCGGAGCAGGCTGACTGTCTGTCTTGGCCACAGCTCCCTGGAGGCTGTCGTGGGCCTGGAGAGCAGCAGTGAGCTTCTCACCATCTCAGTGAACGGGGTCCTGTATCTGCAGGTGCGTGGGGCCAGCTGGTCTGTGGGGAGCGCTGCCTGGGCTGGAGCCATAGGTGTCCTGTACTGTGGGTGGGTAGGTACTCCCAGCCACTAGGCCCTGTGTGGGGCCTGGTGAAGTGTGAGCATGGCGCTTCATGACACCTGGCCCACTGCCACAGCGGAAGCCTGGGATGTGGCCGTTTTCTCCAGAAAACCCTGAGCCCTGAGGGGATCTGCCAAGTGGTAGGGATTTATGGTGAAGGTGGATTCATTCAAAAGGAACTGAACTGTAGGACACTGGGGAGAGCTCTAGACTAGGTGCCAGAGGTGCTGGGTTCAAGTCCAAGGCCTACAAATGCTTGCTCTGTGCCTGGGCCCTCTTGCTGCCCAGGCAGAGTGGGCAGGGGCAAAGGCACCGGCCCCAGGCATCCTGCAGGCTGTCGGTGCAGGGCCAGCCTCAAACTGACAGGCACCCTTCCTGCAGACGGGGCAGTATGCTTCTGTCTTCCTGGACAACGCCAGCGGCTCCGCCCTCACAGTGCGGGGTGGCTCCCACTTCAGTGCTGTCCTCCTGGGTGTGTGAATGGCCACAGGCCCTGCTTTCACCAGGCAACATCTAGACAATTGGAAGGACAGCCACCCAGGTAAAAGGAAGCCCACCTGGAACTCTGCCCACACTGGTCACTGCAGTTGGGCCCAGAGGTGGCCCTACAGAGGTGACACACACCAGTGGTTCCAGGACCCGCAGTGATGTTTTGAGAGTGCAAGATCCCTCTGGGCTTCACCTTGGAACCGCCCAGCATGCCCAGTGGCACTGTGTGTCCTCGGCTGCGAGCCAGCTCCCACATGGCCCCACACAGCTCAGCTTTCCCGGGGCCCATCTTTTTTGGCCTTCTCATGGGCTACAGAGAGCCCTCTGCACAGGGCTGATGGGCACCAACGAGAAGCCAGCCACACGTCCTCACCGCATACTGGGGAGCCAGGCTGTCTGGGGCAGCGGCCTTGCCCACCACTCACCTGCTGACTTGGGCTTCCAAGCCTCTGTGCCTCTCCCCAGCCTTGCTTCTACCTGCTGTGAGCTTCAGGGACCTGCATGGCCCCCCGTGACCACTGAACTCAAGACCTGATGTGGACTCTTGGCCTAACTGCTTCAGGAACCAGAGGCTTGGCTCCCAGCAGCTGTTTCCCTGCTGTGTGCCAAGCTCAACTCCCAAGTCCTCCTTGCAGGTGCCTTGGCAAATGAAACCGCACTCCCCCCAGTGACCCTTCAGACAAGGCCTCCTGGGCCCACTCCAGAGGCCTGCTCCGAGGCCCCAGTGTCCCCACAGGACACAGTCACCCACTTCAGGGGTGCCCATCCCCTACCAGTTGACAGATGGGAGACAGCCTGCCAGCCCAAGTTCTGGGCAGGTGGACAGCTGCTGCCCCCAGGGTGGTGTGGCCCTGCTGGGCCCAGCTGGCTCTGGGATGGTCCTTCCCACTCAGGTGGCCATGTAGCTCTGGGCTCACCTGGTGGTGGAGATGGTCCTGAGGGTGGGTACGTGGGGTGGAGAAGACGCAGGGCCAATAGCCCACAGCTTGCTTAAACACAGCCTTCCAGTTCCTCCTCAGTGCAGACTGACGAGTATGCAGTGAGGACAAGGCCCCAGCAGTCCCCTCCAGGGCCCCACTGCCTGCTAAGGAAGAGCTGGCCCAAAAAACACAGGCTGCAAGAGACGTGGTGCCACAGGACTTCAGGGGTGCCCAAGCCTCCAGGAGAGAAGGTGACAATGCCACAGTCACTCAAGGGCAGCTGGGTGGAAGGACCCTAGCTTCCTTGCCCACACTTCAAACACCTCCAAGCCAGGCAGCCAAAGCAGTGGTACAGGCGAACTGACCACTATGGGCCCCATGGGCAGGCCTGGTCTGATTCTCCGTAGGACTTGTATCCACCCTACCAAGAAGCACCAGGCTGGCCTGGGTCCCACTCCGGTGCACTTTGATAAAGGGGTGATGTGGCCACACCCATCCTGGATTTCAGTTTGTTAACAGTTATCTTTTTCCTTGAAAGAGCTGCACACGCACATCTTTGCCCAATGTAAGCATGTTACATAGTATAATGTTGCCAGAAAGGAGATATTTATATAACTGACATGTGTTACCGTGTGATGTGACCACACAAAGCTATTTAAAAAAGGGGGTGGATCTGAGAGTCAGAATCTTGACCCTTTAGCCCTAACCACCAGGAGTGCTGAACTCCAAGGAGATGCAGGTAGTCTCCAGCTGCAGGGCGGGAGGGGACTCCCCCTGCATGGGCAGGGGGGACCTTGCCAAGGGTGCCAGGGCCAAGCCTCACCCAGAAGGGAATGGGCACTTAAGAGACACACAAACCACAGCCTTCAAGACACACACAGAATGACACCTGGTTCGCTGTAGGAAGACATCCACCAAATAAACTGACAGACTCCAAGGTGCTGGAGTTCTGTTCTTCCTGGATGCCACAATCTAGTGTCCCAGGCCCCAAGCAGAAATGGATACCTACCTTTTGACACTGTGGGGAGGGGTGGCTCCGTCAGCTCTTTGTTCTCTTTATGGTCTTCCCACGGCCGACCCCAGGTTTACATGAAAGGTTCACATTGAAGAGCCAGCTCACCACCAGGACTGATGGCTGATAAGCCGTGTGCAGTGGATGGGGCCAGCGAGCAGCACAGACCACGCAAACCATCCTAGGCCCAACACTCAGAGGAGCCAAGAGCTGCTTTTAAAAAATGACAGTTCTGGGGACTGGGATTGTGGCTCAGCCGTAGGACGTTTGCCTAGCATGGGCGGGACCTGGGTTCGATCCTCAGCATAAAATGCATTGTTTTGTGTCCATCTACACCAAAATATAAATATTAAAAAAATATTAAAAAAATAAAAAATGACAGTTCTGTGTGAGCATAGGCTGACATTTGACCCATCCCTCACCTTACACAGCAGGGCCCTCTGGGCTGATATTTTGAGGGTCCACCTTGGCTACAAACAGACCTGCCAGGGGCCTGCCAAGGTCGTATTGGATGGCACATGATGAGCCATGCACTTTGAAGACCCAGGGGAGCCAGACTAAGACCTGCTAAGCCAGCATTCCAGAACCCTTCAGCCAGACTGCAGTGCACAGGAGATGGAATGGGCCAAACTGTTGCTGGGGCCTGGCAGGGCAGGCCCCTGAGGGAGAGCCTGGTATATGGGCCTAGCTCTGGCCAAGCCCTGGGCTCCTGTAACAATTTTTAATGCTATTTCTGAACAGAAAATTGAACGGAGCCACAGGATTCCAAAAGCCTGGATCTGACCTAGCCTCATCCCTAACCGGTACAACTGGCCCTGTGGGGGCCATCATGAGGCTGAAAGAGCATGTGGTCTTGGAGAGCTAGCCTATGATGCCCACAAGGGGTCCTACCAGGAAAAGACGCAGAGTGTACTCCGGGGCAAGCACACGCAGCCTGATGGGTAATATGAGGACTCAAAAGACTAGGAAAAAAAAAAGAAACCTTTATTTACAACCATGGAGCCCCACAGGAGTACACAAAACACAGAGTGTGCACACGTGAATGAACCTGCAAGCCAACACCTGCGGGTAGCGCCTCATTGACCTATCCGCACCACCATCACTGTGACGTTGTCCGCCGAGCCCCGCTGCACCGCCTTGTTGGCCAGCCTGTTACAGGCAGCTTCGTAGCGGGCATCTATAGCAGGCTTCCCTTCCCGGGTCTGGATCTTCTCATCCTACCAGATGAGAAAGGGGCCTGAGTGAGCAGGGGCTCTGTCTGCTCCCTGTCATCCTCCTGAGACTGCTCTGTGCCTATCAGGGTGCAGGGCAAAGTGACCAGTGAGTCCCCCAGGCAGAGCTCACGTTGAATAAGGAATACAAGGGCTGCCCCTGACACGGACGTAGGGCCTTGGGACTTCTGCTTCTCTAGAAATGGAGGTGCAGCTGGGACAACTGGCACACCCTTGTGAAATTGCTCACCTCCAGGCAGGACAAGATGAAGTTCACGGCTTCTTCTGGGGTAAAGACCTTGAAGAGCCCATCACAGGCCAGTAAAATGAACCTACAACACCAGGAAGAAACATAAATGGGTTTTAGCAGCCAACTACTTACAAACAATTGGAGGTGGACGTGGTACATCAAGAGTGGAGCTGCCGTTCTCTGTCCGTGACCGACACCCTGATGCTAGGGGCCACTCTTCTGTAGAAGCACTGTCACCTGCAGCACCAGGTACGAGGTGTACACACTGGGATTAACCAAGTATGTGAAGCCAAGGGTGAGCTCAGACCTGAGGGACATCCTGGGTGTGACCTTCACACTAGAAGGCCCAAGATCTCAAAGAGGGCCACCCCACTGTTTTGTTTTGAAAGCAGCACACACTCCCTTTCAGGACCCCTTCCTCAAGAGCAGTCTCTGAGCTCCCCTGGGCTCAGCCAGGCAGCGCTCACTCTCCTGGCACTGCGTGGGTCGCCACCTTGCTCTGCTGCTGTACTGTCCAGTCTGTTTTCCTCTTCTGACTGGACACTCACATATCCAGTATTTTCTGAGCTCCTGGTCTGTGCTAAGGACACCTTCCAGTGTCCTGAGAGTCAGACCTGGAACCATCACCCATGCACACCCATGATAAAGGGAAGCTGCGACAGCAACGCAGGGCTGGGGAGGCAGACAGGCGGCTGCTGGAAACACACCCCAGGGCCTAGGGTGGTCACAGCATGGCACACAAAGGCAGGCGTGGGCAACGGGAGAGGCTGTGAGGAGAGTGAGGCAGTGCGTGCTCTTCCTCTGCAGCCCTGAGTGGGACGCGGGCTGTGCCTGCGGAGACTGTTGGGTCGCAGTGGCCCCTCTCCCTAGGGTCACGCTTGTGGGCTCAGCCTGGGGGTCCCATTTTCCTGTGCTCCTCTCCATTCCTTCCTGCTGACATACTGCGGCCTCTCCATCATGCCAGGCTCCTTGGCTCTGGAATCCAATTTTTCTTTTTCCCCCCCGAACCTTTTATTTTTTACTTAAAAATTTATTTATTGGAATTTGTTATATATGACCGCAGAATGCATTACAATTCTTATTACACATACAGAACACAATTTTCACTTCTCTGGTTGTACACAAAGTAGAGTCACACCATTCGTGTCTTCATACATGCACTTAGGTAATGATGACCATCTCATTCCACCCTCTTTCCTATCGCCTTGACAACTACTTGAGGTTCCCTCAGGGGCACCTGCCTTGTCTGCAGGCCCTCCAATGGGAGGTGCCCAATTTGGTAGTGTTTCTCAATCGATCCTGGTTCTGCTTAAAAATGTCCCATGATTTTCCACCAACTATGAACCAAAATTCAAATACCTCAGTGGAACTGAGGGCCCTAGGCGGTCTATTCTGAATCTTCAGCACTGCTTTACCTTCCCACCCTCCTGTCCTCCAAATCCCCACTGTCATGGCCGGCACCTGCCTGGCTAGGCTTCCACACTGTCACTTGAATGCCCTGTGTGTGCTGCTGTCCTCCACTGCCAAAGCCTCCCAGAGCACCCCACAGGCCCATGACACACTGTGCACAACTGCCCGCTGTGGACCCCTCTCTCTCTTTAGGCCTAGCACAGTGTCTGAGACCTTGCCAGTCACTCATACCCTTCCCCCAGCAAAGGCTGGATACAAACTGGAAGGAGTCGGGGAGGCCCAGCCCCACATGCACACCTGTGCCTGCAGGGCAGTTTACCTGTCGTTGGGGGTCAACTGGCAGCGTCTGATGTCAGGCACGGAGGTAACCCCGCAGCGCTTGTACTGCCCGTCCCCAATGGAGCGGGACACCTCAAGGACACCCAAAACACGTCCATCCCTAAGACAAGAGAGACATTTTCAGACTCCTTCCGAGAATCTGATCCTAAAAGCAGAATACAGAAGGGAAAACTACGGACTATGGAATCCATATTATAGTACTGACATTTTTTTTTTTTTTTAACTAACTTTATTTTTATGTGGTGCTGAGGATCGAACCCAGTGCCTCACATGTGCTAGGCGAGCGCTCTACCACTGAGTCACAATCCCAGCCCAAGTACTGACACTTCTTGATCTCAACTAACATGCAGTTCTCTGGGTCATTAACATCCGAGGCCCTAAGCAGAGCCCAGATCAGACCCCTGTCGCAGCTCATGGTGCTGCGCCTGACCTCCTAGGAGCTTGACAGTGGTCAATACCACAGTGCCAGGCCTCCCAAGTCACCAACGAGCTCTGGAGAACTGTGTGTGTGAACATGCAGCAAACTCTTCCTGGGCTCAGCCACTGTCTCTTGGAGGCAGAACTCAGCCTAGCCCTGGCCCTCTCTGTGTCCGTCACCCCTGCCCAGTGGCTCACAGCCCGGTCATCCATACAAAAGCCAAGACTTCTGCTGGCAATCTCCTGGGATACAAAAAAACAAAAAAAATAAAAAACAGAGCCAGAGGAACCCGAGTGAGCAGGACCCACAGCTGAGAGTGCAGGTGCAGCGGGGACCCACAATCTTAAGAGCCCCAGCTGAAGAGGTGCTTCAGAGGTTCAAGAACTGTGAGAGGCCAACAAAGTGCTTCTGCAACTGAGTGACAAGGTGCCTGGTGTGGCCTCCCCCATCACAAACCCATCCTGTGCAATGACCTCTGCAATACAGGCTCCTAGAGGACCCAACCTTTGCCAGCTTCTGTGCAGCACAGCTCAGTGCACAGCACCAAGGCCCATCTAAGGAAGCTGAGCCTGCGGCGGCCGCCTCTCCTCCCCGCCTGCTGCAGTGGTACACTCCTGAAGTGCTGCCGCCACGGCAGAGAGCAACGACAGATGAGCTATGGCTCCAGAGAAGCCTGTGCATCCCAGGAAACACTAGGAGGGACCCGCAGCCAGCACCCACTGTAATCCCCTGTGTGGGATGCGTTATGCAAATACCAGCCACCCCACAGAGACAGGTCAGTACTTCCCCAGGTGGAGACTGCACTGTGCCTGGGGAAGCCCACACCCTTTATGCTTTATGAACTTGTGATCAAGCTCAAGACCACTGCTGACCAGCTTTGTCAAGATCCAGCCAAACAGGCCACAGGCGTCCTAGTCACCAGCAGCTTCTTCCTCCTCACTGAGACCATGACACAGACCACATGTCGGTTCCCAGGAGGCCTATGCCGCTCAGGGTGCTTAAGTTTCGTAGCAGGTCCTCCTCCTGGAGCTGCGGAAAACTCATTCTCCCTCCAGGTCTGCAAGGCTTTGGGGAGTGGCTTCCAAGTCTCACCCACCACGTCATGCCTGTCCGTTGGTGCCCGCCCCTCCTTAGGAGACCTGTTCTGAGACATGTCCCCTGCCCTTACACACTTCTAACTTTTGCTTCAAGTGGCTTCCTTTCTGTTTCCCACCTGCCAACCAGCCAGAGAAGCCTCTTCCTATTAGGCGAGGGGCTGCTCAACAGCCCTTGGATCTTAGCTGAGCCTGCTGGACTCGGTTCCAGTTCTTTCTTCGTAACCAAAGAGGAGACTTCTACTCCTTGTGGGCTTCAGACTAACTGGGCTAAGGAAAGTGGAGACAGCTCCGACCTCAGGTCCTCTACGTGGGTGCCAACGCAGGGACACAAGCAGTCTCAACGCAGCCTATCTGTGACCGACAAGTGCAAAGCACTGGGAGGTGACAGCTGCACTTCCTCACCATCCAAGGAATGGCAGACGCCCAAGACCAGGGCTAACATGACCAGTGCCACAGACACCATGAGGTCTCCACTGCAGGCCTATTTCTCTCATCTTTCCCAAGAGAGGTCTCACTAAGTTGCCCACATAGGACTTGAACTTGGGGACCTCCTGCCTCAGCCTCCTGAGCTGGGATCAAGTAGTGTGCCACCAAACCTGGCTCCAGCATCGTCTCTTCAATCAGGAAAGATCAGAACTTGCCTGGATTCTGGGCACATGGTACTGATGCCTTCCTTGTGAGATGAAAACCACTGTCTTCACTGTCTCAAAACTCCCTGCTGCATAACTACCTTCAGTGTGAGGAAGTAGGAGAACTAAGAACATAGGCACAGGTTTTGCTTACTTTTGTAGTAAACACCAGGAAAAAACGGGAAATAGAGTGAAGGGAACAGAGACCAAAGCATGACATTCTTGAACATGTCTTTTCACTCAGTGTAGATTGTGAACCAGGAAACGAAAACTTTTTATTTTGGGGGCCTTTTCCCCCTTGTTAATGGAAAATTGAAACCTCTGTGCACTGTGGGTGGGAAGGTGTGTGTGTGTTGAGGATGGAACCCAGGATCTTGTGCATGCAGGTGAGGAAAAAAAGGAAATCTTTTCCTTATTTTTTCTGGTACTGGGGATTGAACTCAGGGGAACTCAGCCACTGAGCCACATCCCCTACCCTATTTTTATATTTTATTTAGAGACTGGGTCACTGAGTTGCTTATTGCCTCGCCCTTGCTGAGCTTGGCCTTGAACTCATGATCTTCTGTCTGAGCTGCCCAAGCTGCTGGGAATACAGGTGCGTGCCACCATGCCCCACTCTTTTATTACTATGGTAAAATATATATCATATGAAGTTGATCATAGTAACCACTTTTAAGTGCAGTCTGATAGAAGTACACTCACACTGTCCTCAACATCACCACACCCACCTCTAGAACTTCCTCAGTCTTCCTAAACTGAACCTCATCTCCATTAAACACTAGCTTCTGCACCTCTCCAGCCCAATACTCCCATTCTGCCATCTCTGGAGTGGACCCCAAGCACCCTGATGGAATCACAGTGCTTGTCCCTATGACTGGTTTGCTTCACTCAGTGCAGTGTCTTCAAGCTCATCCATGCTGCCACGTGGCCGGCACACCACTCCTTCCTGTACACTGTGTTTTGCTTATCTGTTCACTGGTCCCCAGACACATGGACTGCTTCTCCTTTCTACTGTGAACGATGCTGTGAACACAGTGTACAAATACCTGATTGAGTCTCTGCTTGTAATTCCTTGGGGTACTTGCCTAGATGCAAAGTTGCTAGATCCTGTGGTGACTCTCCTTAGTTGCTAAGGAAGTGCACACTCTTTTCCACAGTGGCTGCACCACCTTTCACCCCTGGGTGGAGTTGCTCACCTACATGCACAAGATCCTGGGTTCCATCCTCAGTACCACACATACCTTCCCACCCGCGGTGCACAGAGGTTCCAATTTTCCATTTACAAGGGGGAAAAGGCCCCCCAAATAAAAACAAACTGAAATTAATGATTATAATAACCAAATAACAAAACCACAGTGAATGATGACTTCACTTTGTAGGCAGAGTTCTGACAGCTCCTCTGCAGTCAAAGTCATTCCCAGGACAAGAGAACAGCAGGGACGCTGAAACCTCATAACAGTGGTAACTTCCATACTATGATTCTGAAGTTGTTTTGACAAATAAATACACTAGTATTAGGAACCAAGATTTTCAGCATAAAAGAGCAAGCTGTAAATATTAAAGAAGTTAAGAGAAAAGCCTACCTTGTTACATTTGAGTAAGAAACAGCAATGTAAGCTCCTAATTTTATTTATTCTGTTTTTTCGGTTCTGGTGCTGGGATTGAACCCAGGGCCTTGTGCATGCAAGGCAAGCACTCTACCAACTAAGCTATGTCCCCAGCCTCTTAAACTCCTCATTTTAAACGTGTTGCTTCCTAGCTCTGCCAGTCCTTAAACAGACTCAAGACTTAAGTGACACTACCCAGAAATGTGGACCTTGGTTCTTAAAAGACTAAAGTCAATGTGGGAAGAGGACTTGGAGCCCCTGAAGGAGCTTCCACTGTGGTGCTCGGGTAAAGCAGGAGAAAGCACCACTTAACACACAGAACTAAGCACAGGCATCAGCACACAGTGATCCACAAGGTGAGGGAAGTGTGAGACGCAGAGGGACAGGCAAGACACTCACCCTGACTGCAGTCACTGTCTCTCTCTGAAAACTGTTAACAAGGACAGAATTAACCACTCACCCCACTCTTTTTTCCCCATGCACTATAATTTCTTTCTTTCTTGTACCCCACCCTTTAGAAGACACTGCATGACCTCCTACTGATGAGGGAGAGCGCCTTTCCTTATAAGACGTGTGCCGACAAAGTGGAAGAGTCACAGGACAGGGTCACCTCTGCCATCTAATGAAACACAGACCCACACAGGGGTCCCCAAGGACAGCTAAAACTGAAAGGCCCCCAGGAAAGAGAACAGTACCCCCAGACCTCTTGCTGCTCACGCATGGGAACCTGGAGCCTCAGAACTGGCTATCAGCATGTAGCCAGGTGTGGGACATGGCCTCACTGGAGAAGAGCATATGCCCAGTGAAGGAAGGGGCTGTTGTGTACAGAGCACCCCCATAAGATGCCTTTGCTAAAAACACTCAATTTGAACCTAAAGGCTTTATATCTAACTTCCAGAAAAAATCCAGAAATGACACAAAAATGAAACAAGCAGGTTCAGAACACAGGTGACTCCCCCCACATAGCTGCTGTCCTGGACCAGCGTGGTCCAAGTCCTAGCAGGAAGCCAAGGCAGTTAGGACATCTAGAGAGGTCTGCATACAGAGAGGATTCAGACAACCAAGATGACCAAAGGGAGTGCTACTGTCTTAGGTGTGACCCCGTCAGTGATTATGTCCAGAATATCCGTACACAAGGGTTTCAGGGTGTTAAATCATTACATCTACAACTATCTTTCAACAGTTCAGCCTGGCACACAGACAAACACAACCAAAACCAAATGCTAACTGCTGAATCCAAGTGGTAAAGTCTTGTTCAGCACGGAAATGCCGGATGGGTGGCAGGCGAACAGGTCATGGAGCTCCACTGCTTGGAGACAGAGCTACTGCCTGGCTCTGACCTCTCACCCCACTTCTCTAAAATGAGGGGCTCACTCAAGCCCATGCTATCAATGTACTGCTAAGGTGTCTGAACATCTGTGCTCAATTAAATGGGATGGAAAACAGGAAGCTCCTCTTCACAACTGGCTTTACATTCTGCCCCAGGACTGTTAATATCAAAATCTTTTTAAGAAGCTAGCCAAAAGAATAGAAGTCATACGAAAGTGCAGAGGAGGAGGTGAGGACACCAATGTTAGGGTCACAGCCTCAGGCGTTAACTTCCACAACAGGCACTAGGAGAGCAGTGGTGGTGGCAAACATCAAGCAAACAGCAATGTTGAAGCCTAAAACCAGGACTGTGACCCCATCATGGCTCCTGAAAATTGCAGAGATGGTGGCCACAATTCCCCCTCACAGCCCAGCAGGCTGAACACGCCGCAGGAGCTCCCACCCCCTCCAAGGGCTCTCAGCACTGGCCACACTCAGCCGGAGCAGCACAGGCTTCCTGAGCCGAGAGAGAAAACTGCATTCAGAGACAAACTGCTCCCGGCTACACTGACAGGATTACTTCTTTCTTGCCTACAACAGAAAGCAAATGTGACGTCAATGCATAACGTAGGGTCCTTTAAGTGGCGTTCTCTTAGCACACAGTGCAGACTATAAAGCCTTCTTCTGGCCTCCTGGAAGGGATGGCAGACGAGAAACCATCAGATACATGGTCTTCAGTGATTTAGGGTTGAAAAGAATTGCTTAAGACAGAGCCAGATAACATGTAGTACTCTGTGCCTGAGAAGTTGTTCCCAGCAACCCAGAGACAGCAGCTCTGACGATGGCAACTGTGTGAAGGCGGCAATGGGTGGGTTTTTGAGATGGGTCACACTATGTTACGCAGGGTGGTCTCAACCTCCTGAACTTAAAACCATCCTCCTGCCTTTAGCTTCCCAGGTAGCCAGCACTACAGGTGCTGGTTCCACACTGGCCCTGCCTTGGAATTCTTTCCTATCTTAACCACTTAAGATGTTCTTTCTGGAGAACTCACCTAAAACTGTTAATTTACTCAATATAACAAATATTTTTTAAGTATTTAAAACGTATTTCCCAGGCAGAGAGAGAATGCTGCAGATAATGACCATCACTCTGTCCCTTTGCAAGTGTAGGGAGACATGTTTTCTATGCACTCTGCTTCCCCTGGACACGTGAAATCCCACAGCAGTCATCCACATGCTCCCCAGGGGCAGCCGAGAGAAGGTCTCGTCATGGTGGAGGACCATGATGTGGAAAGGCCCCCGCCAAGGTCTGGCGGCTCTTGTACAACCAGTGGCCTGCTCTCGCTAGCACTCAGGTCCCTGCTTACCTGACGTTGCCTCCAGCCTTCTGTATTCTCATCCGCTCTTCATACTGGGTTGGGTTATGCTCTTTGCTGAGGCTTAAGGCTGCATGTCTTTGACTTTCCTCGTTATAACGACACAGGATTGCCTGCGAAGATGGAGATTATGAGAGAATCTAGAGTTACCAGTGGAAGAGGAAGATCAACAATCGCATTTCACTTTCATCTACCAGCTGCCAAACAGAAGTTCAGAGAATCAAGCATCCACAAATTGTCAAACAGAAAAGTCACAGAACTGCAGGCTAAACTTAGGGGCACTGCACCACTGAGCCACATCCCCAGGCCTTTTCTTTATTTTTAAATTTTGAGATTGGGTTTCACCAAGTTGCCCATGCTGACTCTGTTGCTTTAACCTCCTGAGTATCTGGGATTCCTGGGGGGTGCCACAACGCCTGGCCCTTTCTCAGCCAGCCCCTGCACTCCTTCAGTTGTCACAGAGTAGCCCTGCCATACTCAAGCAGCCTCTTCATGGGGGAAGCAAAGCAGTCAGGGTGAGCAGCATCCAGCTTTGGTTTCAGCTCTGGTGCAGACTTTGCTGGATGACCACAGCTGAATGCTCACTGTGGACACTGTCACCAACAAAGAAGAGAAGCACTGTTACCAAAGGTAGGCAACAGTATTAAGGCTACAATCAAAGTCCACGTTCTCTTCTCTTGCTTCATTACAGAGGGTGCTGCTAAGGCTTGGAGTAGAGGTAACAGAGCTAGGATTTGAACTGGGTTTTTTTGTACCATTGAATCCAAGGATGCTTAACCACTAAGCCACACCCCCAGCCCTTTTTATTTTATTTTTTGGGACAGGGTCTTGCTAAGTTACTGAGCCTGGCTTTGAACTTGCGATCCTCCTGCCTCATCAGCCTCCTGAGCTGCTGGGATTATACATATGCACCACCATGCCCAACTCAAAAAAAAAAAAAAAAAAAAAATTGGGAGCTGCTATTCCTTCTGTTATTTGGAGTCAACTGATACAAATATGAGCATGCTAGAGAGCCAGTCTAGCAAAGGGGCACAGAACATTCCCACCAGGCAGGGACTTCCATGTTCCCTGTGGCACCCCACTGATAAATAACCAGCTCAGAAGTACCAGGACATGGATATGAAGCGGGTGCCTGTGTGTCAGTCTGTGACAACTGAAGAAGTGCAGGGGCTGGCTGGCAAAGGGGCAATGAACTTGCACACAGGCTGGGCATGGCAGCTGCTGTAATCCCAGTGACTTGGGAGGCTGAGGCAGCGAATCCCAAGTTCAAGGCCAGCCCAGGCAACTTCGGGAGAACCTCGTAGAGGTTCGTAGCTCATTGGTAGATGGCTTGCCTATCACAAGCGAAGCCCTGGCTTCAATCCCCAGTATTGTAAAACAGAAACTAAACACCAGATCCTGATGGAGCAGGGAGGGACTGCAGCAGCCCTCAGAGCCCTGCATCCATCCCACAACTTCACCTCATTGGCTTCTTTCCCTCACCAGGCAGACTGGGACTGTGGCTGAGCAGAGCCTCACCTGGTACTTCTTTAGCTACAACTTCAAGTTATTCCAAAATCACAAGGACTTTAGAGATGCAGGGGTTAATGCTTTCGTTCATTACCACCTGAGGTCAGAAAAATGTTTAAGGATTTGCGAACAGATGAAATTCTGAACCACGGTATCAGAGTGCGCTGTCTGCATGCACACTCACAGGAGGTGGGTGGGAGGGAGGGGAGGAAGGGCAGTGTAAAGGCAAAACTGCTGTGAGGCACAAGTCTCCCCAAGGAACAGACTGCCTTGACTTTAGCTGCTGGTCCTCTCCCAGGAGTCACACTGTGGCAGAGACTGCTGCAGCAACCCCACCAGAAGGTCTGACCCAGCCACTGCCACTTAAAAAAAAAAAATTTATTTTGTAGTTATAGTTGGATACCTTTATTTATTTTCATGTGGTGCTGGGGATCAAACCCAGGGCCTCACATGTG